ACAATAAAAACAAAAGTGGATGCTGTTTTCTGTTTACAAATTTGTTTTTCTGTGCATTATCAGACATTGCAGGTAACTATGGAATAGATGAGGTGAGGATTAGACTGCACTAGGTCATTCCAAGGCCGCTCAGGTGCGGCCGGTATTGACAGTGTTGTGATGACTGCAGGAATAAAAGGAGATTCCAGTTTTCTCAATAGCAGTTGTTTGTGGTGGTCTCAGCATCTGCTGAGAATATTTGCTTTTTGTCATCCACAAACTGATAAATGCTTCCATAAGAAATGCTCAAGACCCAGACTAAGAGAGGAAGTGAAACCACAATCAAATATACTGGGAAAAAATATTTTCCTGGGAAAGTCACAATGAAGTAATAAGAAATGTCCTTCGATAGTCTTTGTGATTTTAAGGGAAGTAATTGCTGTATCTTCTGCCTTTGCTTTGTCAGAACTTCCTGTACAATCCTTCTGTCCTGTGCTTGCGCTGCTCCTGTGGATCCTGCATGTGATGTTAGTGAGATTGAATTGTAGAGCACCAGGCTGTCCTGGGTAGCCTGGTGCTCTACAATTTTGTCCACAGAAAAAGCTGTCAGAACAGCACCTGTTTCCCTAACTGCAGGCATTCTGGTACTTTATCTGTGGGTGCATAGCTGGAGGCTGCACTAGATCTCTTTGCTCTTGTGGTTTGGTAATTCCAGCAGCAGGTAGCTTTGGCAGCATTTCATATCCATAATTGTCTCCATGAGTGTCTCTCAGTGGAGTGGATGTGCTCATTTCTCTCCATGATTCTTTTATTCTAATTGAATAACTGCAGCTCACTAATGTCCAGCATTCATGACTCAAACTACAGACTGGGTGATGTCTTTCACACTACTGTGCCATGTCATGGTTTTCCCACTGCTTTTAGGTCTCCCTGTGAATAGCAAAAGCAACCTATGGGCTCCTTGCCTGGATTGTCACCTCCCTGGAAAGTGGCTCTGTGTAGCTACTCAAATTAATTAGGATACACAGGAAGGGAGAGAGCAAGGTTCGGGGAGTGATACCAGCTTTAATGTAGGCAGGCTCATCTTCCTCTGCAGTCAGTGAAATGGTCTCCTCCATAAACAGCTCCTGTTTTTCAAAATATTGACTATGCCAGGCATCACAATTCCCCTTGAGTTTTCATTTTTTTTAGCAGACAGCTAAAACTTGGCTAGCTATGACTATGTGAACAACAATGAATATCAGCAGTCTTAGCTCAAACAAGGAACTAAAAATCATCAGATTACTGCAGTTAAATGCAAGGTAATCCTCAAATTCATCAATACATGAAAGTCAGTAACTTTGAGAAAATCTGTCCAAGTTCCTGGCCCACTCACAACTTTCTGAACTCAGACAAATACACTGTTGGTTAAAGTGCTTAGAATGGCCCATGTGTAAAGCATAATGTAGAGCCTTTCATTCTGTATGTGACAGGAGATGCTTCCGTTTGGACTCTTCATTTGTCTCAGAGAAGTGTGGGTGTGAGTCTCTTCCCATCATACTCCATACAAGCAGTCCCTACAGACTTGCTTCCCAGGATAGCATTAGGCTTTTGGAGATCCCTCAGTGTATTTATTTCTTGTAAAGATCTATTGCATTGTCAGCACTTAGCACCAGATAATAATTCTGGAGCCAGACGCTCCCATCACTGGCCACAAGTCACTTCTATTGATTTCAAGTACAATGCTGCTTTTATCTCCTTTCCATGCAGGAAGGAGTGCGGTTGGGCCACCCTCACTGTGTGCATTGTAGGAGTAACACAAGAAACACATTGGAGGAACTCTTAGATAGAGGCAATGCTGCTTTACCTTAATTTCTAGAATGGGGCACATAAAAAGAAGGAATTTTATTTTTTCTTTGAAAGTGAGATATTAATTCCAATCAAATTATGGGAGTATTGTTGCTGCCTTCCATATACATGGGATATGATAAATTTTCTTCTTCAATTTGTAAGTCTTTTTAGCAGCTGGTTAATGGTTACCACTCTTTATAAGTGGCAAGAAACAAAAAGTTGTATCTTAACCCCAAACTAACTGTATAAAAACCAGACCATTTCAGTGAAGAAGATTCTCTTTGAGAAGTCTAGTTTGACAGGTTCCTTAACCATAATCAGAAGAAGGAGAAAAAATGTACATGGAGTGAGCACAGGTACCATGTTACCTCATGAGTGAGTGAGGAGGATGCACCTCAGAAATTAGCATGGAATCAGTCTGAATTGGAATCAATCTGAATGACTAATGGTGGGGAAGAGGGGTTAGAAGGGAATCTTCATCTATACACATTACCAAAAAAGGCTGTTATTTAGGCACCAGTAGAATCTGAAGTTACAGACAGGCATTAGACGTGGCTGCTCACAGCAGGACCCAGGTGCCAAACTAGAAAGGATATGTAATGCTCCCCATAGCAGCATCTGGCTTTTTGGCAGAGCCTACACACTTGGGCATTGATGACTCTGGATTTGCTTTGTAGTCTCTCAAACAGTTGCATTGCAGTGGCTCTGGGCAAAACTGCAGAACCTTTTCCTCCACAGCACATCATTTCACATAGCATTTCACAAAAGAATTACCACTGAAAATGAACATAGTCTGTGCAATTAGTCTGATAATTAAGACTTAAGTACTGGACAGAGATCAAAGTGCTTGTAATCTGCAATAAAGTTGCTAGAGTTGTAAGGATTTTCAAAATGTTAGCTCGTGCTTTATTGCACCTTCCATTTATTGTGTACCCATGATAGCAGCAAACACATTTTCCCAGTGGATATCAGCATGTATAACTGCAACACCTGTTACTACAGAAGCCTGGTATTTCTCACAATATGATTACTCTGTCAACGACTGCCATAAAAGGTGGCATCTGTATTCATCAAAAAGAGTTATCAATAAATGTAAAGCCATACCACAATTAGAGATCTCCAAGGAAGAACAAATCCAACCAAAAAAAAAGTCAGTGACAGTATTTAATTACTAAGATTGTTAATCAGTAAAATGCCTTCATAACTTTTAATTAAATTTTTATTTGAACTGGATGTTTAGAAAATCTGATTCTTTGTTTTTGTTTCATTTAACAGTTGCACTACTAAAGTACTGGTGGCATCTGTGAACAGCCTTCCTCGAGGGGACACTTTATGTCTGTAACTGCATTTTGTCACCTACAGAGGGTGTTAAGAATCTTGTTAAAAATAAGGGAAATAGTTAGGAGACATCTCACTGTAGCCATTATTATAGTGCAAATTACCAGGTAGAGTAATCCAGAAGCTGTCAGGAAAGGTTAGTAAGAAACAGTGTCAGGAAATCAACTATACAGCAATCCATCATGGCCTAACACTAGCTCTAAACTGAAAGCTTTTAAAAGGCATTGTTTTATGAAGTAAGGGACATTAATTTTTTTTACAGCATTGAATAAAGATAACTAGGAAAGTGGTTCTCTCATGAAAGATATAAAGACATAATGATGAAAAATGTCAATTATTTTATTGCACAAATCTGCAGGCAAGGTAAAAACCAGAGAGAGGTAGCTACAATTGAAGGGGGCCATTGTAATATAATACCTTACCTTTATTTTCATTTTAATTTTGAAATATGCTGTCTGATTTTTGCAATCCTTATTCAGACAACAAATGACAAGCTTTCTAGATTACCAGTTCAGTCCTTAGAGGCTCTGTAAGATGTCATGAAAATACAAAATTTGCCTTTCAGAAGTTTTTACAAGTGCAGTCTTGATACTGATTATAACACAGATTGCCATTGTTCTGTTAAGGTGTATTAGCATCCCCAGGGCTCTAAAATAGCTTTATAGTACTTAAGAAGCAGAACTCTGTCAGAAAAGATGACCAAAAACCTGTCTTTATATTCCATATGAAAATGTCTCAAGAAGTACCAGTAACCAGGGATTGCACTGGCATTAAAAAATACGAAAGTGTTAAAAGACAGTTGTCTCAGATTGAAGGCATCCCATAAGTTTAAGTGATAGCTGGAAGGGCTGTGAAGATGATAAACAGAAATAGTAATGAGCAGAATTCTGTATAAGATGGCAAGTTCAATCATACCACAGTTTACTGGAGTCTCTGAGAGCTCTTGGTGTGCTATACACCCCAATGAAAAACCATGGAGAAGAATAATGCAGTTAGGAATTAAGAATTTTTTAATGGGGCTGACTGATGTTTAGATGGCAGAAAGTTTAATTACAAGCACAAACTCACATCAAGTTTGCATTGCTAGTAAAAGGTTATATTTATATCCAGTCTCAATGTGCTACCAAGGGCTAGTCTTCATTTGCAATGTTAGTGATATTTTCTGAAGACTTGTCAGAATGGAGCACTCACTTCTCATGGGTATAAAAATACTCTTATGAACAGATAATAGCATCAATCACTTTTAGTATTTGAATGTCAGATATATATGAAAATCCTGCTAACTACCTCCAATAAAGAACTTCAAAAATTGCTCCTCAAAATACATATACATGTATTTTAATTCACAGGAGAACAGATTAAGAGAACTCTCCTTCCATGACACATTGGATGAGAATCTGTCTTGTTGCAATGCTAAAAATTTGCAATCCATCAACTAAATGCAGATGCAGGGCGCCATCTCGTATTTCCTTGTCAGATAAATTATGCCTTATATCAAAGACCACACAGATTCCTACTTAACAAAACAGGGGTATGTTTGGACATATCATAAATATGAAATATGAAAGAAAGCAAAATAAGACAGTCAATAAAATGTAAGATTTGTAAGTCAGATAGCATATACCTTAGAAATAATGTTACCAATACTCAGAATCTGTGATTAAAGAAATATTCATAATCTGTCACTAATTTTCCACAGAGATTGAATTTTTTTATAATACTAACCTGAAAATGTCTGAGGGAAATGAAAAGAAGAAAAATAGCAGATGAAATGTACATTTTTCTATATTTGCATATATATATATATATATAAAGATATTTCCCTTTATTTCTCTCTTTTTCTCAATTAACAGCTAAGCTGGGAAAAGGATTCATGTTGTCCAAGGACAAGTTGGAAGATATGCTATTATTGAGAATAGTCAAATATAAAACCATAAACAGAAATTGCCTGCAGCTGTCATAATAACTGTCTGGGCAATAAAATGGTAGCTAAAATTCAATACAAGATGGTAAAGTGTATGAAGAAATCAGCTCTAAGCAAACTACTGCCACTCAAGGTAGGCATCTTGGATTGAGTTGCTTCATAACATCAAGAACTTCGTATTCCTTAGTTTTCATTAAGCAAACTCTGCCAAGAATAATTTGGAAAGGATTTTCAAAGAAAATACTGAACTGATTAGACTTCTGATGTCCTTGTCTTGGATATAGCTTATTGTTCTGGTCAGAGTATAATAAAAAGTTACAGCAGAACTGATATCTAATCAACACAAAACTACATAATTAATGCGTAATGCTTCTCATTTTGTTTCCATTTATTAGGAGCTCTGCATACTGAAGCAGCTTCCACAGATAAAGACTCTAAAGACGCTCTGGCTAAACCAGAAAACCAGTTACAGGGTAAGAATTCTAAAATATTTATATAATTAGGTAATTATTTTTTTAGTAGTTTAGTAATATGCTGTACGTTATGGACAATTGGCTCCTGTCAATAGACTTTCAGCTTCATATTGCAAATAAATTATCATATGCCTTTTCTTCTGATTAAAAATGAAGTTTTGTGGTATATAACTGAACAACAGCTCATTCAGCCAAACCAACCAACATCTTCAAAATCTCTTATTTAATCTTTGAATAGGCAGACATACTCATTCTCTAGGAGCTCACATTTATCAGCAATGATCACAAGCTCTCATTAATCCTTCATCAACCCTGCATTCATCTGTAGTACCTGGCCCCCTGTGTAAAACAGGCAGTAGAAATTCACCTCACGGTCCATGCATCAAGCTTCTGAGTTCTTGGCAAGGTAGCCTGTCTCTTCAGACTGACATTAAACTTGATATAAAATCTTCAGATGAAGATGAATCTTCCATGTGGAAATAGTTCCAGTGTTTAAGTACCTTTTGCACTTTATTCTTGCTTTATGCTTCGCTGTCTTTTCTTCAGTCATTGGATGTTCCTATACTTGTGTCTGTTTATAGGTATCACATGTCTTCATCTGTAGATAATTATGGACCATGATCAAATTATATCTTAATTAACTGAACTGAACAGAGTCAGCTTATTACAAAACTCTACAGAAAGGTAGGTTCCCACTTTCAGGGATTTTTTTGCTCAGAGTTTTTCTGATATGTCACCATATTTCCTAAGGGTGGGTACATCCCATGCCAAACATGCTGCCTCAGAAATAGATTTGATGTCGCATGCATCACTATTATTACCAATGTCCACGTTTTTCCCAGAATTTCCATCTACATCTTGAAGAACCAAGTTAGGTCTCTCTTTGTCCTTCTGTGACATCTCTTCATTGATGGCTTTTCATCAGTGACTTGCAAATATTCACAGCTCCTACTTTCCAAACATTGTTTTCTGTCCTTCTAACGACTGGTGCATCACCCACAGATCTTCTTTATTTTCTTTGTTTCACTCTTCTATTACTCCTATACTCAGAAAATAATATATGAAAAAAAAACCCTTTCTGAAAATTAAAATAAACCAATATGTGAATGTATGATATCTGCCCTAAGTTGTTGAAATGCAATCACAATTTCTATCTCTCTTCACCACTACAATAATATCTTCTAGTTGAGAAGGAAGTGTGATACAAGGAACCTGTCATGGGATGGAAAAAATACTTTGTTTCTTGATTACACTGTGAACCTTTTCTGTTTTGACAATTTCCCTCACATTTCATCCTAAGCAGGAGAGCAAGTACAGCATACATTTATTTTCAAACACAAAAGAAGCTTATGAATTGTGCTAGTGATAGGGGTGGTGGGAACAGAAAGGAGATGGCAATTCATGACTTAGGTTCATGAATCAAAACTGTTTTAGTTCCTGTCCATGAGATCTTGCAGGTGTCTTTGGGCAACCTGACCTAGCTTAACTATAAAGGTCTTGTAAGAAATGGGTGATTATTTTTTCCCTAATTTGAGATCAGATAGCAGTGATAAGGATTTTATCATCTTTGGATAATATTATTAAATTAATAGCAATAATATCATGTCTCATTTTCATGAATGTGAAAGAATGAAATTGGCTAAATTGTTCAACACTGTGTTCCACCATCCTGGTATTTTCAAGCATATAAAGGTAAAAATTTTTTTTGTGTGAGAGGCAGCAATATGTGGTGGAGATGAAAGTGGTGTGTATATGGATATATAACTTCCACTTTAGTTTATGGTATAATGCACATGTACAATTTTAGGAGCTGTCTGTCTGCTGTTTGGTCAGCTGCAACCGATTGCAGGAAGGAGGGAAGCACCATGTTCCTTCCCAAGGCTTCATTTCTGCTCTTATTCTGGAGTCACAGCCCTTCAGCTGACAGTGAGAGGTGCTCTTTCTCTGTGGGGAAAAGTATGACTGAGATCTTAAGAACCTTATTGTGACTCAGTGAAAGATCTATCTGATCAGCTGCAAGCAAAGTTAAGCTGCTAAAGAGAACATAAAAAGGAAACTTTTCCCTGGCTATGTAAAAGATCACTATAGGTAATATCAGCTCCTGTACTCAGCCACTGCCAGTAAAGCTCTAAAAGCATTTTCTCCCTCTCCATCTTGTGACCATTCCAACCAGAGGAAACATGAATGTAAGCTATAAATATATATTGCATGCTCACAGCTGTTCAGGAAAGATGAGAAGCTGAAGGCCATGGCAAAACCCTCACCATGTTTTACCTGTCACTCCTGTTAAGAAAAACCTCTCCCAGTCATGAGGCTGTGGGAGGCTTTAAGGATTGTACAGAGGGTCAGAATGGAGACTGTAACACTTGGGGGGACATGTGTACAGCTTTTGGTTTTAATACAGAATTGTACCCTCAAGTACCAGTCACCAGTCTTCATTTGTGCAGTAGAACAAAGCGCTTTGCTAATGCCAGGGTGGCTCAGTGCGCACCCAGGCACCCCACCAGTCATGGCTGCAGCCATGGCAGCCTGTCTGGGACCTGAGGCTGGGACAGAAGGTGCCCGGGGTGTGGCTCTATGGCTCTTCCATGGATTTATCAGGGGGAAGGTATTAAGACCTGCATGTGTCTGTAATGGCCATAGCCAGACCCAAAGGAATCTTCTCAGAGGAGAATCTCAGCTCTTCATGTATAACCTGGAAATGCCTCCAATGTTTCTATACAAAAGAGAAGAGGGGTGGGGAAAGTTAAAGAAAATTAGGTTGAGTTGGAAACAAGAGAATCTTTACTATTTGATTACAAAACGTCTCTGTTTCTAAATCCTCATCTAAAAAATTTACATTAACATCCAAATCAGATCAGACACTTAAATCGGTTCTGAACACTCAAATATCAAGATGAATACAGGGTTTTGTTCAATCTGTTTTGTATCTGGAAGCTGTCTAATAGAAAGAAAGGTATGGCTGATGTGCTGCCCCTTTGGTCTTTAATCAGACAGCAGTCCTGTCTTTCTGCCCGTCCTTTCACTGCAAAATCTTATATTAATGCTGATCATTCCAATGAAGTCTTAACTACAGAAATAACAGAAAAATTAGAAAAGTAGGCCAAACACTTTGTTTTTTATTTAATTCAATTTCTTCCTTCTTATATATATATATATTTAGTCATCTTGGTATATGGGTCAAGAAAAAAAATTCACAAAAATCTGCTGAAATTCTAGGCCAGAACTGTCCTAGTGGAGGACCTGGCTAAGTCACAGACATGACTACAGTCTTCCGTGGCATTCTCTCTTCCTCTCAATTATCTAAATTCTCTGAAAAGCTGAGCATCTGAAACAAACATGTGAAGGTGAGAAGGAATACCAAACAAAGTGGGTATCTTTCTTGCTCAGTAGGCCTGGATAAAAGTATACATTTAGGTTTAGAAATCCTTTTTTATTTGTTTGTTTCTCCTAGTCTACTCTGTATTTCTTTTCAAAGATTGCAAGTGAAAATATTAATAGGGACTTTCCCATATATATTGCTAAATTTTAGAAACAGGAATGGGAATGGAATATTTGGACCATCCCTGCTGTTACTTCTGAGTCCTGACTACTGCTGTTCACTTCCTTATCATTAATAAAAGATCAAGGAGATGACACAGACACTGTGGTGAGAAACAGCAAGTCTGTTTTGACATGAATTTTCCAGAATAATTCTCTTTCTGTACTGATGCTAAAGCCTCACACAGGGAGGTTTTCTATTGGTTGAGTATGTGCCAAAGAATGTTAATAAGGGAGATGGTTGAGTTAGTAATTCCCTTTCAGAAATGCTCTGGGAGTGTGCACCATTGGGGTTTTGGGGAGTGGTATATATAGCACAGGCATGATGGACACTGATTATTTGCATTGCTGCAAAGTAACTAACATTATAGCTCTGCCACATCCTTGCCCAGTGAAGTATGAGTGCACCCAGTGTGCAAGTGCTCCCTTCGTCTCTGCCAGTGGCTGGGAAGCTTAAAACTGTAAAGAGAATAAGGAGTCAAACCTATAGGACTGAGAATTTCCTGAGTATTAATAAAAGGGATCAGTATCCCATTTTTACCCAGAGATCTTGAAGGGACCTATATGATCCAATGACTCTAAAATTTAGATGTACAGAGAAGCTGAACACTTAACTCTTTATGGCTTTTTGGAAAATCCCAGGAAAAGGTGCAGTGTCCATTTCTTAGTGTGTCTGTGAAGAGGACATGCATGGTTCCTAACCTGAACCATGTGAAATGTGGACATGCATACAGCCCAGCACAGTGGAATATTCACCAATAAAATAGGTTAGTGTTATTTAAATTTTAAGCAGCCATGAATAAAAATATAGCAGAAGGCTCTCACAGGCGATTGCAATCTACTGAACCAATCACATCCTAATTAAATTTTCCATAGCTTGTCTTTGGAAAATTACCCAGAAGCATCCTTCAGCATTTGTTCAAGACACATTTTTCTGATAAAGGGATTATGTGGGATTTAAAGAAATTTAATATCAAGTAAATAATGAAATAATAAATTTAATAAAAAGTGGAGCTCGCCAAGAATAGAAATTACAAAGGAGCTTTCTCATATTACTCTACCTTATTGTCACAGAGCTGTTTCCACAACATTTTGTGTTCGCTTGGATTTTTCTGCATATTGAGAATTGATGACAGTATGTTTGTTACCCAAGTTAAACACTGTAAGTAGTTTAGAATCTCTGATATTTTAGCCATGTTAACCAGAAATGGTGATCCATTAAAGAAACTCCATTGCCTGTGGCCTCACTGTAGATCACTGTCCCCACAGTCTTAGAGGACAGTGAGCCACAAAACCAATAATGATTAGGACTCCTAGCTGAGGTGAAAAGCTATTGCCTCATGGAACTATTTTCCAATCCTCCTCCTTCCAGCTGAGCTGGACTAGTGACACTATAAAATGGCAATTAAAAGACTCAAGTTTAAAAATACCTTCAGCTTCCCAGGTCCCACAATGGCAAAGGTTAAGTGGATTATGTGGAGATAATTCACTCAGCTCCAGGGGGAGGGTGCTGACTGCCAGGACTGTTGGGTACCTCCCTCTCCCCTCCTCACTTGCTGAAGCAGCGGTTGTTACAGTGGTGTCAGTTTTGCCAACCTAAAACAAGAAAAAGCCTGGAAAACTTTCCCAATGGATCCTGCAATTACTAATGGGCACTGACTGGTACTTGCAAATTTCATTTGGATACAGTCTTGAGAGCCGAGCATGGAAGTGGTCCCTAGTCCTCAGCTGACATCTTAATGCTATTGACCATTCATGCAAGTCTTCCAGTAAAAACACCCTGTTTCTTCAAGAGAAAAGGAATATGAAAAAGATTGCTGGCCTTACATGAACAGCTACTCTCCCCCATGCTCCAGCTGAATTAAAACCACCAATTACACCTCTAGTTGTGTGGCAACACCTACACTGTGTTTCCAATTAACTTTGTAAGTTTTTAATCAGTGACAAATGCATTTTTGTAAATTCAATTTGCCTTTTATTGCAGCACCTATAAAATGTCTTGCAGCATTCCGGAACTCTGTGAAGGTTTTACTTGCTACTGACATAACGCAGCTGTCGGACCTACAACAAAGGCTGAGCTTTATGAGCAACTTGAATTAGGATGTAGGTTAAGCAATTAAAGTTCAAGCAGGGGGAGGGGGAAATGGTTTCCCAAAATTTGCACTTGCCAATTTAAAAAAGCACACCAAAAGCATGCTGTACACTAGAATGGGAGAAGGTAAAGCAGCTAAGGAGACCATATTCAGCTTTAAAATTGCTATTTTGAGAGCATTCCGTATGTGAAAAGGTCACCCAGATTTCATTAATAAATCCACTCTGCTGTTTGTTTTCTTTTTTAATCAAACTCAAATGCATCCTGTTAAAGGGCTGAGTGATTAGATCATAAATCTGGATGTCCTTGAAGATGATGAAGAAAATGCTTATCTGTAAAGCAATCATCATACTGCCAGTTCTGTCATTTACACATTTTTACACATGCTGAAAAAATGGTTTAATTTTAAACAATTTGCTTGTATTTTTAGGTAAGAAAAAAATCTTGCAGAATTTACAGTTAGAAGAGCTGGATTACTTGTGATATGTGGAAAGAACACATTACATCTAATCTTCTGTATCTAAATTCAGGGTATTAAAACAACCAACATTCATAATAAACGTGATTTGATATTTTATCTTAGTAAAACTCAACTCTCAGCACATTAAGTTCTGGTTCCAGTTATAAAATTCTCTTAAATTCAACAACTCTGAAATTAGTCAGTTATAATGGAGTCTAAGTGTAAATTTGCATTGATGGGTTTTATTTGGACTGGTAGGGGCAATCCAAATGAAGTTACCAACTGTATTTTTATTATATTAATGCATGGAAATCCTTGTTCTGTGGGGTCCAGACAGTACATATTGTGCTAGATTTCTCCTTTCTTCTTTTTTTCTCTATTTTTAAATTTTCCTTGTATATTGATTTTTCCTTCGTTTGTGAAATATTTATTCAGTACTTCTGTCAGTATATTTTTCTGTTGTAAGCATAATTAGGATATTTCTGTAACTTCTCCTGTGTGCATTTGGATCTTGCAGCTGATTTGTCACTTTGCTTGAACCCAACTGTGGACATGACTCTGGCTAGCACCAGCAGCATATTTACCTATTGCAGTGCTAGCAGGAAGTTGGGAAATGAATGTCTCTTTGGAACTTTATTAAAGCAATGGATGTGAAAAATAAGTCTTGTGGATTTATAAACATTCTTACAAAAGGAATGAGATATGGAGCAATATTTTGAGGTGGGTAAACACATGTTGCAATTTTTTAGCTGACTGCATGACCTGCTTTTACCTTAAGGTAAACCCCATCTAGTTTGAGCCATTTTGATTTCTGGAGACTTGATCCATAGAGGTAAAAGTCACAAGGTAAGTCAGTTTGGCACTGATGCTAGTGCCAAAATGTGGCTCTCTGGAATTTAGCACAGTGTGCGTTATCTGATGACAGTGGCCGTGTTGCATTATTTAGTGCATAGAATGTCCACCCAGCAAAGATTTATGTGTTTGTTTAACTTTGTTCTGTCTGGTTAATTACTCACAGTCACAGAAGATCCTTACGTGTATAGAGTGAAACATCAGTGGGTTTTATTCTCAAAATATTTTTAAATTGCTTGCTTAATTGTTCACTATTGTTGTGAAAAGACACTGTAGTAAAAGCTTACCAAAGGTCTAAGGTTTCTAAATTATATTTTCCCTACAGATCATAGTGAGCAGAGGGAGTAACAGGATTGTTCTAAAATTTGTATGTATGCACCCATATGCACCTAACTTTACTTCACCAATTTTCTTTAACTGACATTTATAAACATTATTTTTATTTGGTTTGTTGTAGAGCCTGCGATCCTCTCCTCATAAACGCAAACGCTGACTTAAATTGAGTTCAGCAAGCCAGTTTTGAGCTGCATGCAGAGAAGATTAAAAGAAATAGTACAAAATCCTCTCCAGGGAAAGATCAAATGGTTACTGAAATGAAAGCAGCCTAAAACTGTAGGGTTTAGCCCAGAGGAGGGAGGGGAATTGGGCATTTAGCTATAATTAACACCTTCTACTTGCACTCTCCAGTGTTTCAAATGGATTGTTTTTTATTATAGGTAGCTGCTCACAAACCCTAAATCACGTTATTAAAAAAAAAAAAAAATCAGAAAAAAATATCAGCAACTAATTCAAGTGTTTACTCTTCAAGCAATGGTTCTGTAATCCTCAGACTTCTATAGTCAGCCATAAAGTCACCAAGCATTGGTTACATATGAAAAAACACTACTTCTCTGTGAATATGTGATTGCAGAGAAAAATCACACTTTTTTTTCTGCTTTCTACATTACTTGCACTGAAATTTTGCTTGGGTGAACACTATATTAGTTTATTTGAAGCTTGAGATTAGCAACTTTATTCAGAATAAATGTCTTATGTATTCTTGATGCTGTTTCTTCAATTTTCCTTTATTTCTGCCAAAGTTGCTTAAAAATATCTCAGACTTAAAAGTATCTAGAACATTTTAAATGAAGATATTGTAGTGGGTTTTTTTTCAGTTTGTCTTGATAGATAAAGAAAATCTGACAAGCTTCCTTGCTTTGCTTTCAGAGACCTTGCTCAGTGTTGGTATGTTGCATGCTGGAATCTGAAATACAACTTATTTTCTGTCCCGTTCTTCTATCATGAATCAATCATTGTCAGGTCATTGCCTACTGATCATTGAGTCCCTCAGTCTGGTGCTGCAAAAGTACTTGTTTTTCCAAAAACTAACTAGGTTGGTACCTTGCATCAGCTGATTTTAAAGTAAGATTTTCTGGCTTTCTGAACTTCAAATTGCATGTTGCTACTACTACACTCGTTTGGCATTTATAAATTCATAGCCTGTGTAGGTTCACATCCTGCCCCTGTAATGCTTTGCAGGCTGTTAGCATACTTCTTCAACTGGTGGAGATAAACACCCGTAGTACCTCATAAAAATAAATTCTGGTTCACATGTGCATTGAAGAAAATATCATCATATAGTCTGAAATAACAAGAAGTGGAATTTGTTTTGGAATTCTTCTGTAACTGCAGAAGTGCCTCAAAATCATCACCTTTCCCTCTGCCCTCCCCTGCTGAGCTGTACAAGGAACCCGAGAAGTGTGAACAGAGTGCAGATGTGTCCTGCTGAGTCCTCTGTTCACCATGGATCTATCCCTGAACAGCATACCTAGTGGTTCTGATAAACTTATGCACAAAACCTTATGAAAAGATTAGCAATGTTCTCTCTGTGTGAAGCCAAGACCCCCAGTAGCAGGAGTTTTGGGGGGATTCAGTGGATAGGGAGATGACAGATAGCACTTATTGATGTCAGTGATCCATAGTGAATTATAGTGATCCATACTGAATTACTTCAGTGTGTGAGAGGAGATGTGGTGTTTAAGAAAGAAGATGATAAAACTAATATTGGTTCCTTTATTCTGTGGTTGAAGTCTATGAGCTTTGTAGATTTGTTTCCAGTTGTTTTTTTTTTGTTTGTTCCTAAAGAAAGACTGTATTGACTATAAACTTATTTGAAGTAATTTCTTCTTCTGCAGATAAGGTTAATGCTTTTGAGCTTGCTCTTCCATGCCTACGGGGTGTAACACATATGGTAAGTAATAATAAAATACTGATCTGACTGTACAACTTTATGTAAGGCATGTGTGACTAAAACCTGAGCAATAAAATTTCCTTTCCTGCTCAGACAGAACTGTATATGTCTGTCATATTTTATTGGTTGTTGAATGGCACATGCCCTTATGGATCACAGCTGAAACCAGACAGCCTAGGGTATCATTGCATATTTGTCATCTTCAATGAAAACATTACAGCAGATTTCTGTATACTTGGGCAAATTAAGCCATAGGAAAGTAAACAATCATGTTGCTGATGAGTATGTATGCACCTATAGCATGTGAAAACTTTAGTACTAGTGGCAAAAATATCTCTGATTTAAGTAGTGACACACGCAGTGATCAGGAAGCAATATTGTAAAGCGATATTTTTTAAAGATAATTAGGCACATTTATTGGATGCAGACAAAAATATCTTATGGATCCAACAAATTAGACCCCTTTTAGCTGCATTGGTAAATACCGTATAATTCATTAATATCCAGTGACTAGAGCTATATGAAAGAGATACACAGAACTTCAATTACCGACTTAGTAGCACTGTTAGTAGCGGTCCTCATCCTTTTGAGTTCTGAAATAGTTGGTTCTTTTCCTACATGGTAGACAATTCCAGCAAATTATAAAAATTATTTTAAAAATTCAAGAGGAATCACATATAACAAAATTTTTTAAATAGATTGTGTTAAATATACAGTGAAACTGTGCTTTATTTTCCCTTTCATGGAATCCAATGACAAAAATTAATGACAGTGATTTTAATATTAGTTATTACCATGAATATGTATAAATTAATAATATCACATGCTGCAAACCAAACTGCACTGTTGTGTATTGTGTGATAAACAGAAGAAATTATACAGTTACACTTAAAATCCATCCTTTGCCCATTTTTCAAAGTGGCTAAAAATTGTATTTGTTTAACAACAAATAAAGCCTTGTGACTTTTGTTTAGCCCATATGGCAGCATAGCCCACTGAATAAGCTGTTTGGATGCAGCAACACTGAGCTTTATCAGAGATACTTTTGGTGAGGAAAGATATGAAATTTCTTTCTTTGCAGGTATTAAAAAAAAAATCTATGGTCAATGCCCAGCCATCAATCAAATAAGTAACTGGGAGGGTCATGCTGATCTGGGTTTTGAGGAGTGGTGTGTCATTTTCGTAAAGCCTCCCAAGGTAAGAAGATTTAATTTTTTCATATTCTTGGCACCAATAGCTAAGAAGAGACTCCAGAGTGACAGTGACACGTCAGGAAACTGAGAGTGGATAAATGAAATTTTGGTGACTAAGTACAATTTACTTTCACAAGACTCTGAACATTTCAGATAGCATGTGTCCACCTCCCACCTGCCAGGCATTCTATCCAGATCCTTAGCAGGTGGGAGAGGCTGAGAGCAACCTGCAGCAGTGCTTCCTTAGGCACTGTCTCCTACAGCCAGGTGAGGGACACCAGTGATGGAGAACGCAGAACTCTGACATCCCTCAATCCTCCTCCTGCAAAACCCCCAGCAAAACCCTTGCTCTTTTTTCTCCCTGTAATAAGAAGTCTCCGTAACTACCGTTTCCCCTAATATTATCACTGCTTAACATTCATCAGAAATAATGTAGTAAAGGTCAGGCCGCTGCTGATAGCTAGGCTTTCGGTTTTGGGATGAGCTGAACTGGCATGACCCTGGCAGGGACTGAGCTGCTGGGCTTGTCTTGGCTGTGTTTATAAACACATCAGGTTTGTAGTCAGAGTATCCTCCATCAGAGGTGCTGATAAGGTTGAAGGAAGACAGAGTTCCTGTGCACAGTGTTGTCATCTGGTTTACAATGTCTTTGTTAGGATGTTGTCTGTGGGACCTATACATTGGTTAACTCTCAAATTCCTTGCTATTAAATGCTTTTGCTCTATGGAGAAAATATGGGAGACTAAGCTTAAGTGACAATAGTATGGGTGTTCATATTTAGTGAAGATGATTACTGAAATGGGTAAAACATCAAAGCCAACGAAAATATTCACTGGTGTATTAGAACTCATTTAGGAGTTGTGTAACAGAGGGTTACTTCTCCCCCAGGAGGTGTTCAAACCTAGAGCTCTGGAGATGGGCTACACTGCTTTAAATTCAACCTTCTTTTACATGTTTTTTTTTTAACAACTGTGAATTTCCTTTTTTTTCTGCTAGATTGGTTGAATGAAAATGAGAAAATGTCTGTTGAGGACTGATTTAATGATTCTGACACTTTTAACACTGTCTGAAAGTAAACTGCAACAACTGGCAATTTTGAAATGTATTCCAACATCTTTCAAAATCTTAGGTTTTGAGTAACTTTAGTTTTCATATTTGAAATTTGTCTTCCCACAGAACTGAGGTTTAAGTTGCAAAATCAGAAACAGAGTTTGCTAAACATTTTGGAAGCATGATTTTAGCTTATGAGATGTGACTGCCATGGTCTGTGTAGTCAGATCTCTGATCTTACTCCAAATACCACTCGTATGCCATGTAGTTTTCACAAAGCTGTTGCTACTCTTTATTTAACCAGGGAATGCACAAGAGTTTATTTTGAAGAAAATATGAATATTTAAAGGTATTCGAGAATCACTCCTACCCTTAGACATTTTTCTGTGGTTGCTGCTGGTAGCACTATTTTCAGAGTGTTTGCAGAGGGAATTTGGCTGATGGAGTGGATTAAACCCCCACGGTTTGTGCAGCTCAGTCACTGCTGCTCCCTCTGCTGGCGGTGAAAGACGAAATTACAATCAACATTATGGAGTTACAACTGCTCCAGAATACAAAATAAAATATTCACAGTTTATAGGTGCAAATTAGCTAATATCCACAAATTGTGTGTCAAAATGAGCTCTTTCTTTATCTGACATGTTCTATGTGGCATACCTACTGCAATTTCATGTATTTTCAACCATGATTATTTTTAAAGCGCTGAACTATCTCATGTAAAAACATCCTCTTTTCAAAGCAGTCATTGGATAAAAATCAGGATGCAAGCTAGCATCCAGAACGGATTCTGCTCAAAACTGTGAATGTATGGCCAATGCCCTGTTGCCAACAGGAATTCTTCAGAAGTAGAATAACTGAAACATTAAGCAGTTTACTCAGGAGATGTATGTGCATAATATTCACATGATTTCCCAGCCAAGCCACTCCACACCTCCTACTAAATCTTTGTTTAACACTCTGTGTATGAAAGGTATTCTTATTTTCATAATAAAAACGTGGTAAAGGGATAAAGGATTGAATTACAGTAAACTGATAATACTTTAAACTAAAATTCTTATTCAAGGCAAATGGATGCAATGTCATATTATTTTAGAATTTAATCTGTTTACCCAACTTTTACTCACTGCTACATGGGTATCCGTAAGAAGAATCTGATTTTATTTACTTACTTGTGTGAAGGCACAAGCTGTGTGCTAAACACTAACATCAGGCTCAGATGTCAGTGCTTTGCACACAGCTTGTACCTTCACACAAGTAGGAAAGCACGTGGTGATCAGGCCTGTGTATTTCCCACTCATTATTCCCTAAACTGAAGGACATAAATACAAACAGCCAAATGTCTTTCAGTCACAAGAAAAAGTATCTCCCCTTTTACTTTTTATTTTTATGGATAAGGGAGCTTTCAAGGAAATGTCGTAGCACAGCTAAAACTAAAGATCCATCCAAGTCTACTTAAGACACCTTAGTGAAAAAAGGTCTGCTGGTCTCACATCAGTGCATATTGCAAAAAACATTTCAACTCAGCTGACAGTCTCTATTTAAGCTGAGCATTTTGGACTGAAATAATAGGGAGAACTACATAACTAAATTACTTTTACCTCAAGAGACATTTTTGTCTGTGAGGGTACACTTAGAAGCAGTGACTTGATAATAGGAGTGCTGACTACAAATTTGCATGCAGGCACACAAGGAGGCAGGCTTAGATTAGTGATCTGAGCTACTAACATTAAAATACAGTTTCATGATAGATACAGAAAAGCTTTCCAATAACTCATAATTCTTACATTGGCTGTCCGGCACAAAAAACCACCACCAGTGGCAGCAAGAGCATCTTTGAGAAGAATGCAATGGAAACTACAGATAGTTCCAGTTTCTTGAATTAATCTCTTTTAGGGGTGAGTTATTTTAACCTAATTTCCATGTGGGCATCCAAGGGATCATCCAAGGAAGCACCACATTTTCACAATCATAGAAGAATGACAGACATTCAAAAAAAAAAAAATCTAAGTTTAAATGAGGTCAAAAATGAGGCCAAAAACATTACTCAATGTGTTTTTCCAGATGAAAATATTTATTCAAGACCACCACCTCATATCAGTGTTAAAGAAAAATAGAAGCCTAAGGACTGTCAGTTTTCTTTGCAGCATTTATGAGTGGAATAAAGGACACTCTTGCTCAGTTTGATTTCTTGTGAAATAGAAAAAAAATCAGGATACTATGAAAATTATGTTTTTTTCTAGTGCACTCTGGACAAAGACACTCCTTTACTGCAATTCCTTCTAATGTAGAGTTTGTATTTTTGTCAATCCATTATTTTACCTCACCAGGCAAGAAATTTCCATAGCATGTTTAAAACACCTAGAGAAAAAAGCTCCCCAAAGCCGTTCATGTCATGCAGCTACGCATGCTTCAATTCGTGCCAGTTTTCTGGGGGTTTTGGGTGTTGTTTGTTGGTTTGTTTTGGTTTTTTTAAGCAAGTAAATAAAAACAACTTCTTTTTCTCACTACACTGGACTGTCCACTTCATGGTAGGAGACGACCTTATCTTGTATTTCTGGATGTAGGTTATCAACATTGCAGGGAGGCCATAAGTGGCTGAATGGAATTTTCTTCCAAAAAAAAAGGCTAAATATTTTGATATTGGAGACAGGATTTTCAAGTGTGTGTAGGGAAATTCTGTATTTCAATGAAAGCTTAATTCCTCGGACTCTTAACCCTTAGTGGCATAAAATTAGTATTTTACATAGTTCCTGAACAGCAGAATGACTCACAAGTAAATTGAAGTTTATGATATGCAGAAATGTGAGTTATTAACAGAAAACTATTCTAGGACTGGGAGGTACAGGATATTTTGCACTCCAAGAATGATGTTTCTGAAGATGAATCCTTAAGGTTGAAAATGTTCCAGCTGTAATCCTACTGAGTAATGCTTCCTGAGTAAAGTCATGGTGTTACTTCTGGGAAGAATTCAGCTCTGGAACTTGGTCATTTTACTGTCTTAGATTAGATGAGCCAATTTCTTTAACACAATTCTGCTATGACTGCTGTTTACTTTTTTCCAAACTTTCGCTGTCTCATTATCTCTGGCATTTACTAAATGCCTGTCTGGAGTTAAAAACAAATTTTATGTTTACTCTATGTCGAGTTATCATGGGAACACAAGGGAAAAATGAGAGAAACACTCAAGGATGTAGACTGTGTGAAGAAAATGCAGTGGCATTCAATTGAAGAGGGAAGGCTGGCTCTTTGTGCCCCCTGCAGAAAGGCTGGCTGGCCTTGGCAGGGGAGACACCACCTGTAGGTGCTGCACGGTGACAGCTCTGCCTGCACTGCCCGTGCCTGGCTGGGCTCACACAGCCTGCCTGGCACCCTGCCCGTGGCACCCACAGTCACTGCACGCCAGGCTGGCTCATTCCTCACCATGAAGAGAAACTTGGCTTCCCCCTAGGCCAGCGCTTGGGCCAAATTTAGTAATTGCTTCAGAAATCTGGTCATTAAATGCAAGATGATTCTGTTGTATGATATGCAGTTTAATGACTTCAGCTTTTTCCATGCTGCATGGATACATTTGGTGAAGATTTTTAAACACCAACAGCTTCTGCTAAGCATTAAAAATGCAAAGTGTAATATAACAGGTGCAAAAGCAGTTCTTTAATGTTCTTGTGCTTTCCTCTGAGTTAGGTGGTTACAGTATATTCCAAGAGGATAAGCTGCCAGTTTAATAGACCAGCCTAACTTCCACTTAGGAACTCTGAAGCAGTGATACATTATACAACTACTAATTTTTCTTTACATTGTTTCTTCTGAGAAAGATGAATTTCCTTTACCAAAGTTTTCTCAGCTATAATTTGAGTATCTATTTCTCAAAAAAGCTTTCTGCATTAAATCAGATGTTAATGTTCTGTTAAACTATCTCTTACTGTTACCAAAACCCAAAAATATAGTAGGCAATAT